CCTCAGCCTTCCAAGTAGCTGGAACTACAGGCGCGCACTACCACACCTGGCTAATTTTTTTTATGTACTGTAGAGATGAGGTTTCGCCAAGTTGCCCAGGCGGGTCTCGAACTCGTGGGCTCAGGCAATCCACTCACCTCAGCCTCCCAAGGCGCGGGATTACAAACTGAGCCACCGAGCCCAGTTCCAAAATATGTATCTTTAATTCCTGTCTTCTGGGCTCCAAACTCTGCAGTGTCCTCAAACTCTGACAGTATATCCAGCTTTCTACTCAACGTCTTCATATGGAGATTCTATAGGCATGTCAAACAAAACAGCTAAAGGAGAGCCAGTGATTCCCCCTACTCTGTTAGATCTCTTTTCCTTTCCATCTTTTTTCAGTCTTCTTTAATGGCACCTCCATGAACCTGATTACTGAAGCTAAAAACCCAGAAATTACTCTTGATTATTATTCCTCTCATACCCCATGTACAGTCCTATCAGCAGGTGCTCACAGCTCTGCTTTCAAAATGTATCCTGAATCTGACCATTTCTTACCATATCCACTGCTACCTCCTTGTCTAAGCCGCTGTTCTCTCTCACCTGGATAACTCCAGTGGTTTCCTATAGTCTCTCCTCTTCCATCCACTCTTGCTCCCATACAGTCCATTCTCTACACAGAATGATCTCTATAAATAAAAAATCAGGTCATATCACTTGCTTGCTTCCAAAGTCTTCCCACTGCAGTTAGAATAAAATTCAAACTCCTTACAAAGCTTATAAGGCCCTATGTGATCAGGCCTTGTATTCTCAGGGTAGGCTAGGGTAGGCTGTAGTAATACAGAGGCCCTAAAGTGCTAACTGGCTCAAACACAAAAATAAAAAAAGTTTATTTCACACTTACATAATAGTCCAAAGGATTATTGTACTCAGTGGCTAGCTCTCTAGTGGTTCTGCCCTTCCCTTGGGCCTAGTTATTATTTGTGTCTTGTTGGCAGATGGGAAAAACTCTCACACTTTAAAAGCCTTGCCCCTGATACAGCACCCACATTTTGGCTCTAATTTTATTGTCCAGAATTCAGTTACAAGATGCCACCTAACTTCTGGGGAAGCTAGGAGGTGTCGTCTAGTCACATCCCAAGAAGAACAGAGGTTCAGTAAATACCTAGAAATCACTACCTATCTCTGCCTACATCTGACTTTCTCTCCTACCATTCTTCCCCATATTCATGTTCCCTATATACTGGCCAGAATTATTTAGTTTTCAGGCCTTTGTACTTGCTGTTTCCTGTACTTGGAGTCGTTTCCTCCCTGAATCTTTGTATAGATATCTGCTTATAATCATTCAGATCTCTGGTTAAATGATACCTGAGACAGACTATCTCAGACCTACTTAATGAGATGCCACATTCCCCTAAACATCCCTGTTCGTTACTCTGATTTATTTTTCTCATAATACATATTGCTCTCTGAAAGTCTCATCTGTATATCTGTCTTTGTATATATATGTTGATTGTCTACTTTCCCCCTCTAGATTATAAACTCTTTGAAGGCAGGGACTTTGTCTTGTTTACCACTACATCTCTAGCGCCAAAGACAACAGAACATAGTACATGTTCAGCTAATAATTGTGGGCCAGCTGGACTGACTGACTGGCTATGGTTAGAATGATGCCTTTCCTTCCCATCCTGGCTACCTCTCACTCAGTCTTAACTTCTTGGCTCAAATGACACCTCCACGGTGACTCATGTTTTGAGAGCTAACACCTACCCTTTTCCATGACACTTAGTATCTTTCTCTGTTATAATAACAGTTCATTGTTAGTTTACCTATCTATTGCATGGAACCTGGGAAGGATTTATATACTGCTTGTATTATACTGAAGAGCAGGAACTAAATCCAGTTCCTCCCCAGCATCTGCACATGGTATCTGTTGAGTTACTAGGTATGTAAGAACCCCAAGCACTGCCCAGATTGTTAAGGACACACTGTTGAATGCTATTCTCCATTTGTTCTTCATTCTGCTCTCACTTGAAATAATTACTGCCTGCACCTGGGTGACTTACACCTGGAAATTGTTTTATAAATAACTCTTACATTATGCATGCCATGGAGCCTGGGAATCTTGAAGTAGGTGCCTTGTACAGGGTAGATACCCTATAAATATTTGTTGATTTGACTCAGTTGTTTATACTGAAATTCAGTATTGTGGGCCAGGCACAGTGGCTTATGCCCATAATCTCAGCATTTTGGGAGGCTGCGGTGTGAGGATCACTTGAGGCCAGGAGTTCGAGACCAGCTTAGACAATATGAGGAGTGCCTGTCTTTACAAAAAATAAATATATTTAGCTGGATGTGGTAACTCATGCCAGTAGTCTCAGCTACTCGGAAGCTGAAGCAGGAGAATCGCTTAAGCCTGGGAGTTTGGGACTGCAGTAAGCTATGATTGTGCCACTGTACTCCAACTTGGGCAGTAGAGTGACATCTCGTCCCTAAAAATAAAAACAATTCATTATCGTATTCTGTTTATGAGACATAATTTGTTGTGTTTTTATGATCTTCAGTAGGCTTTCAGCTATAATTTCTTATTACACACATCTGCTGATAGAAGACCTATGTGTTTCTACCTCTTTCTGCCACATAGGCTAGTTTGCCATAAATGTACTTGTTAAAAATTGGGAATTAAGGGAAGTCTGGGAGCTGAGAGAAAGAAAGGGCTGGCTTCAGTAGCTTTTTTATAGCTGTCTTAGATTCTAGGGATATTTTTTCTCCTATGGGATCTGAATATGTGTTCCAAAGAAGGGGGATACTGTTTCTCTCTTGCAACCTTTTGTGAAAAGAAGAAGATAATTTATCACATTGGTAGAACAAAATGAATTTACATATGCCAAGAGCAGTATGATGTGTTTTTTTTAGTCATAAAGTTTGTGTTTATCTTTACTGAAGTCATTAGCATACAAAGTAGAGACATGTAGTTCCAGAGTCTCCTGTTTTTCCATTGAATGATTAAATATTATAGTCACTATATATTCTTTTTTTTTTTTTTTTTTTTTTTT